TTGCTTCTACATTTTTGTATATACTTTTTAATTTTATTACATTTTAAAGTCTGGTTTGGGATGTGTGGGTGTGTGTTACAGCATGCATATGAAAATCAGACTGACAATTTATTCTCTCCTTTCACTGTGCAGGTCCCACAGATGGAGCTCCAGTCTTCAGACTTGGCCACAAGTGACTTTATCCGCTTGAGCATATTATATTAAAATTTCATAAGTCACAATCTTTTTTAATATTTATTTTTAATCATGTATATGGGGACAAGAGTGCACATGAATGCAGTTGCAAATCCAGGCCAGAAGAGGGAGACAGATCCCCTGTAGCTGTAGTTACAGGTTGTAGTCAACAGTCAGAAGCAGAAGCTGGGAATGAGGTCCCCTGAAAGAGAAATACACACTCTTAGCCACTGAACCAGCTCTCAGTCCCACCCCTTTCTGTTTGTAGATATACTCTTTTTTTTATGTGTATGAGTGTTTTGTCTGCGTGTGTGCATACACACTACACACATGCTTGGTTCCTGCGGAGGTTAAAATAAGTGTTGAAAGCCCTCAAATTGGAATTACAGATAGTTGTGAGCCACCATGTGGGTGCTAGAAACAGAGCCCAAGCATTCTGCAAGAGCAACACGTGCTCTTAACTGCTGACCCATCTCTCTAGTACTCCCCCCGTTTTTAGTGTGTGTGTGTGCACACACGCGTGCATGTATGTATATGTACCCACACATGTATAGAGTAAAGTGCATTTTATTAAGATAAGGTGTCTCACAGAATCAACTAAGCAGATTTCATAGGGCTCACAGAGACTGAAGCAGCAATCACAGAGCCTGCACGGGTCTGTGCAAGGTCCTCTGCATACATGTTATAGTTGTTTAGTTTGGGGGTTTTGTGGGACTCCTAACAGTGGGAGTAGGCGTTGTCACCAACTTTTTTGCCTGCACTTGGGACCCTTTTCCTCCTGCTGGGTTGCCTCATTCAGCCTTGATACAAGGGTTTGTGCCTAGTCTTATTGCGTCTTGTTATGTACTGTTCAGTTGATATCCCTAGGAGGCCTGCTCTTTTCTGAAGGGAAACAGAGGAGCAATAGACCGGGGGTGGGAGGTAACTGGGAGGAGTGGAGTGAGGGGACACTGCGGCTGGGTTGTATTGTATGAGAGAAGAATAAAAATAAAATAAGTTATCATTGAATGTGAAAAAAGATAAGGTCTCTCAATTGATAGTTTTTAATATGTCTGTATGTGGTGTATGTGCATGTGTGTGTGTTCATATCTGCATGTGTGGAGATGCACATGAGGTTAGGGCGGTTCATGTATGTGTGTGCACATGCCTGTGGAGGCCCGAGGTTGGTGCTGAGTGTCTTCTTTGTCACTCTCTACTTGTTCTAGTTCGATTTCTCTTGCTGTCATTCAAAACTCGGCCCAAAACCAACACAGGGAGGAAAGGATTGCTTGGCTTATGCATCCAGATCGCAGTCCACCTTTGAGGAAAGTCCGGCAGGATGCCACTCGGGAAAGCAGAGGCCGGAACTGTGGAGGGATGCTCCTGGCTGGCTTGCTCACTTGTTTGCTTGCAGACCCATGCTTAGTTTTATACAACCTGGAACCACATGTCCAAAGAATGGTGCGGCCCACAGTGAGATGAGCCCTGCATCAATTAATAATCAAGACAATCACACACACACACACACACACACACACACACACACACACACACACACACACACACACGTGCCCAGGCCAATAGTCTCTGGCAACTCCTCAGTTGGGGTTTTCCCTTTCGAAAACACCACTCCGGGCTGAAAACTAAGGCTAACCACCGTTGCCTCATATACTGAAGCAGGAGTGGTCAGTTGAACCTGGAGCGAGTCAATATGGCTAGTCTCAATAGCTAGATGGCGCTAGGCATGCTCTGTCTCTTCCTTCCAAGGGTAGAATTACAGGAGGCCTGTCATACCTACGTGAGTTCTGAGAATCTCAACTCCAATTATCATACTCGTGCTTAGAGCTTTAACTGCAGAGCCATCTCCACAGCCCTGGTTGTTTTCTTTAATTGTGCAGATTAATAAGGTTTGCTCTGATACCACAATATGCATAATTGATTGTATCTCTCCATCCTCCTTCTACCCCCACCCTCTTTGCTCCCATCACCTACTTTTTAGTCTCTGATAATCCCTCCTCTAATTTCAGGGTGTCGCTGAGATCTACAATAACCTCACATGCTCAGATATCAAAAGTGTGGCTCCCAGTGGGATAGCGTTGAGACACAAAACCTTTGGGAAGTGACTGAGCATGAGGGCTCTGACCTTATCAGTGGATCAGCTCACCAATGGATCCATCGTTTCACGGGCTACTGGGAAGTGGTGGAGACTTTAGCATGTGCTACTAATTGTGCTATTACCATCCCTTGCCAGGAAGGTCTGGCTGTGGGAGTTCCTAAAAGTCCAAGTCTGGACATGAAAACAAGAATGGAAAAGAAGTGAAACATGAAAGTGATTATGTTTGATATAGTAAAGCCAGGAAGGAGCAGAAGGGATGCCAGCCACCCTGAGTTCTGTCTCCCAGGTAACAGTGGTGGGGAATAAAAGTAGGAGGCAAAAAGCGTGCACGGTCAAGCAGTCTCGGCATTTAGAAATTTTCTCTGGATTGACTATACACTATTGACAGCAGTAGGAATGCTGTTGTTGCCTGGGGGCAGTTTCGTCTCTAGTCAAAAGATGATTATTCGTCACACCTGCTCTTCTTGGAAGCCAAGGTCAATGGAGGAGAATGTGACTCACAGAAAAGGACAAGTCTGAACAGAAAGATGGAGCTGGTTCCCTTAGGGTTAGTGCAATGACTAGGGAATCCTAGACCGTGCTCCGGTCATGGGGAGCAGGATAACGTAAACCTTGTGGTTGACAACATGCTCATTATTGTGTCCCTGTAAATCCTGAAAATATCTTAATAACCTTGGTGTCTTCAACCTTGAATAAGGATTATTTATTATCTATCTGAGTGCTTGTTCAGGGATTGATTGACATGTGTACACGCAGAGTTGAGCAAGAATCCAACCCAAAACTGAGATACAAAATGAACACTTAGATGGCAAGCTTTCATCCTCTCACCGGGACATTTCTGTTTACTAGAAGATGCTGTCTCTAAAGTTGGAGGGAGTAGATTACAGGAGCCAGGCTCTTGAAGGGCATATTTTTTCCTTAACTCCCTGTGTCTCTTCCTGACTGCCGTGAGGTGAGCCAATATCCACCACCTATTTCTTGAGTCACCACAGACCTGAAAGCTACAGATCCAAATGACTATGGACTGAACCCTGAGAAAAGGAGTGAAAATGTTTCTTCCCATGAGCTTATTCTTCTCAGGTCTTTTAGCAACAGAAAACTGTCTAACACAAACTGCTGAGAAATAAGGTAGTTGCTGTCTCTAGACCTAATGCTGCGATTCACAAGCTTTTAGAATTGATTTGTGATGAATGATGAGAAAATATACAAACTCACAGAAGCTGAGCAACTCACCACTGGATGAAAACTGGGCCAAGACAGAAATCAAGAAGGAAATTTAAAACTTTTTAGGATTGAATGAAAGTGAAAATACAGCATACCCAAACTTTCGAGACACAATGGAGGCAATTTAAAAAAACAAGTTCATAGCACTACATACCTACATCAAAACACTAGAGAATTCTTGCATCAATCACTTAATATTTTTTTCTTTTTTAATGTTCTTAAATTAAATAGAATTATATCACTTCCCCCCTCCCCTTTCTCTCCCCAAGCCCCTCAGCCACCTTCCCTTCAAACCCTGTCATGCCCCCCACTCTCCACTTGATAGCATTTTTCTTTTACTATATATGTAACATACACAGATAAATAAATACAACCTACGGAGTCCATTATTGTTGTTTACCTGTATATAGTTTCAAGGCTGACCACTCTGCACTGGGCAACCAATAATGGGGCTCATCATTTATCCACCATTATTGACATCGTCCCAGAGATTCAGAAATAGTTCAATACACATAGACATTATAAACATAATCCACCATATATAAACAGACTAAAAAAATGATCATCTCATTAGATGGAGAAAAATCCAATATTACTTCATAACAAAATCCTGGAGAGACTAGTGATACAAGGGTCATATCTCAACATAATAAATACAATTTACAGCAAGCCCACAGCCAACATCATCCTAAACAGAAAGAAAATCAAAGTATTTCCACTAAAATCAGAAACAAGGCAAGGATGTCCACTCTCCCCATACCGATTCAATACAGTCCTTGAAGTCTTATCGAGAGGTATTGTAGTTTTATCTTAATATTTTGGGGTATGTCATTAGCCTTTATATGTCTTATTGGGGGTTGGTTGTTTGGTTGTTTGTTTGTTTGGTTGGTTGGTTGATTGGTTGGTTTTGTTTGGGTGGGTTAATTTTGAGGCTAAAACTCACTATTTACCTGAGAAGGACCATGAACTTCTGATCCTCATGAGTTCAGAGATCACACACATATACTACCATACCTAATTCCATGCACTCCTGGAGATCCAAGCCAGGATTTTGGGAATGCTAAACACTCTACCAACTGAGCTGCATTTCCCTATGCCTCCTTTCAAAACATTTTTTTGTGTTGGGTTTGGGTTTGGGTTTTACTTTTTCCTTAGTCCTTCAAGAGCTTCATGGTGTGCACCCAATAGTGTTTGTGTTAGAAAATAGATGACAAACCAGAGGAATCTGAAGTCAGAGCTTGTTCAACAGAAGTTACGAGCTTATTGTGGAAAACCTAAGAAGGGCTCACACCCATATTCAGATAATGAGAGTGTTTCTCTTACAAGCTAGGGAAGTTTTGTTGGGCTAGAAGATTGAGAAGGGAAGGGGATGTATGTGTGGTCAAGTGTGTAACACAAATATTAAAAGGTCTTATTAATAAAAAAAAACTCAGAGCCAGATATTGGGGTGAAAACTGAAAGATCAGAGTAACAGAATAAGCCAGCCATGTTCTTACCTCTACAAAATCCTCACCCCCAAGAGAGAGACTTCCTGTTTACTTATGCCTTATATAACTTTCTGTGCCCTGCAATCTTCCTTCATTCCTAGTGCTGGGATTAAAGGCTTGTGCCACCACACCTAGCTCTGTTCCCAGTGTGGCTTTGAACTCACATAGATCCAGACAGATCTCTGCCTCCCGAGTGACAGGATTAAGGGTGTGTGCCACCACGGCCTGACCTCTATGTCTAATTTAGTAGCTGGCTCTGTCCTCTGATCCCCAGACAAGCTTTATTGGGGTACACAATATATCACCAGACAGGTGGCCAAGTTTCCTCTTTCTCTGAAGGCATTGGTTATTGTGGTGTGGTTGAATTCAAGCACTTAGAATGTTTTGTAGAATACTCTGTGCCAATCTTAGAACAAAGAGTTCATGTTCAGGGTCAAAGATGGCAGCACAGTTATTCTATCAGTTTGCACGATGGAAATCATACTACAATAGTAGAGTTACAGATTATCCATGTTATTGATGTGCTAGTCAAAAAGCAACAGGAATCTGCTCAAATCAGTTTAAGGAAAATCCTATTCAAGTATATATTCTGAAAAACTACAACAGTAGTCACTAGATGAGAATATCTCTCCTCAACACTTTCTTCAGAGCCTTAGCAACATCCTTATTCCTCAGAGTATAAATAAGAGGATTCAGGGTGGGAGTAATGATGCTATAGAAAACAGAACCAACTTTGTCTTGCAATGGAGTGCGCTGGGACCTGGGCCTCATATAGGAGAATATGCAGGCACCAAACCAAAGGGAAACCACAAGGAGATGTGAGCTACATGTAGCAAAAGCGTTTCTCTTACCCCCAGCTGAACGCATCTGAATGACACTGTGGAGAATGAATCCATAGGATGTAGAGACAAGGATGATGGGGAGGAGGAGAAGAATAATGGTGCTGATATAGACTGTGTTCTCATACACAGTGATGTCCCCACACACCAACTTCAAAACAGCTGGAAATTCACAGTAGAAGTGGTGGATGATTCTTGAACCACAAAAAGGGAAGCTCATCAAGATGGATGTGTGGATTAGGGAGTTCACAGATGCACTCAGCCATGACATGGCAGCCATCATCACTCCCACTCTTTTGCTCATGAGCACAGTGTACCTCAAGGGGTGGCAGATGGCAACATAGCGGTCATAGGACATGAGGGCCAGGAGGAGACACTCTGCACCACCCAGAGACAGGTACAGGAAGTGCTGGGTGGCACAGCCCACAAACGAGATGGACTTCTTGCCAGACAGGTAGTTGTTAGCCATCTTGGGAATGGTTGTAGAGACGTGCATCAGATCCATGAGGGACAGCTGGCTGAGCAGGAAGTACATTGGTGTGTGAAGACGGGGATCGGCGCAGATGAGGAGGATGGTAAGGCTGTTGCCACTCACTGCAGTAAGGAAGACCAGCATGATCAGGAGGAAAAGACAAAAGTGGTTGAAGGAGTCATCAAAGAGCCCTTGAAGGATGAAGTCCTCCAGAGAGGTCTGGTTCCACCTCCACATGCTCCCTTTCTCAGCCCCTGAGTGAACAGGGAAAAGACAGAAGTGTCATGCAAGAAACACAGCTTTACAATGAGCACTTCTTTTCTCAAGAAAAATGTGAAGAATATTTTCTCTTTATTTTACATATTTGAAATGTCTTTGTATGTATTCACTGGACATGATACTAGGTCACATGTGGACATCTTGTACAAGTGTATATCTATTTCTAATGTGCAACAATTCTAATATCCAAATCATACTTTTAAAAAGGGAAACCTAAAACTCTTTCTTAAAAAATCATCATCACTGTGAAGTTCCAGAATATCTGCATTCTATTGAAAGCCCACTTTGGGAGCTGAGGTGATATCTCACCAGAATAACACAAGGTACTATGCAAGCCTAATGACCCAAGGTTGATCCCCGAGACTTAACTGAAAATTATCAGATCTGGATGGGGAGAAACACTGTCAAATGCTGTCTTCCGGACATACTATGCTCACTGCACTCATGAACTCACCACAGTTAGGACCACAAGCACAAGGTCAAGTCAGCAAAATCAACCAGCATCCCATCAAGGAGTGTAAACCAGACTGAGTAAGCTACAAATAGAAGGGGGAAAGAGCTCATGAAGATAGGGGAGGAACTTGATGGAGGAGGGAGAGGAAGGAGTCAGGGTGGGTCTGATCAGATACATATGGAATCCTCTGAGGGTTGCTGCTTCTGCATTCTTCTTTTCTTAAAAGATTAGCGGGTTTTGGTTCTATAAGGGACAGTCATATGAGAGTCACTGTATTTCATACTGTTCTTCTGCAGAGTAAAGGACAGTTTAAAGTAGTGGTTCTCAACCTTCCTAATGGTGCAAGCCTTTAATACAGTTCCTCATGTTGTGGTGACCACCCAACTATAAAATCATTTTCAATCCTGGTAATTTTGCTACCAATATGAATTGTCAGGTAAGGATTTTCCGTGATGATTCACAGATTGAGAACCACTGGTTTAAAGAAACACCAATGAATAGTAAGATAAAACATAACGAAGCCACTCCATACACACACACACACAGAGAGAGAGAGAGAGAGAGAGAGAGAGAGAGAGAGAGAGAGAGAGAGAGAGAGAGAGAGAGAATGAGCAGGAGATATCTCCTGCATATATTTGTGTCCATCAAATTGTGAATCATGAACAGGAGAAACTAGGATTGTAGCATTTCATCAGCCAAGCTTCCCCATCTATACTTTATCCTCTCCCATCTGAACACTGCTATGATTGGCCACTTAATCTCCATGGTGAAGGCTAACAAACAATTCTAAATTGATCTTACAAGTATTACCCTATCTCCCTTTGGTTTTCTTTTTTCCCTCTCTATTGTTTTATAGCAATGTCCACCTGATTGAAACACTCCCTAAAACATGAAGGAGGGAAGATGCTGGTGAGACTCAGGAAGTAAACAAACTTCACACATCTAGGAAAGCTGAAATTTGCAAGAGCCTTAAGGGTCCCTTCCCAAAGACGTGGAAACAGTAAAGAGAGGTTAGCTAGGCAGGAGACTCTAAGCAGCCATGTTGCTAAGAAGAGACTCTCTTCCAGTGTTCTCCCACTCTGTCCCTCCCCCAGCTCAACCATCCCATTCCCTCATGTTCTCATGCCCCATCCCCTTGATAGAGGCAGACATTACGGGATTAGGCAGAAACTGGGTGCTAGGAAATTCACAGGAAGTCACAAGGACAACCTCACACTAGACCATTAGCAATAGTGGAGAGGGTATCTGAACTAGCTTTCTTCTGTAATCAGATTGGTGACTATCCTAACTGTCATCATAGAGTCTTCATCCAGTAACTGATGGAAGCAGATGCAGAGATCCACAGCTAAGCACCAGGTCAAGCTCCAGGAGTCAAGTTGAAGAGAGGGAAGAGGGATTATATGAGCAAGGCGCATCAAGATTATGATGGGGAAATCTACAGACACAACCAAAACAAGCTCTTAGGAACTCAAGAACATAAGACTGACAGCTGTGGAACCTGCATGGGACCAGACTATGCCCTCTGCATACCGGAGACAAATGTGCAGCTTTGTCTGTTTGAGGGTCCCCAGCAGTAGGATCAGGATCTATCCCTGGTGAACGAGCTGACTTTTTGGAGCCCATTACCTATGGTGGGTTACTGTGCTCACCCTTGATGCAAGGAGAGAGGCTTGGTTCTGCATCAACTGAATATATCAGGCTTTGCTGACTCCCCATTGGAGGCCTTACCCTTTTGGAGGGAGGGCTTAGGAGTGGGGGAGCAGTAGGATGAGAGGGGAATCTGTGGTTGGTACAGAAAATGAGTGAAATAATTTCTTAAATAAAAAAAGAGAGAAGAGACTCTCCTACCAGTGGGGCTGGCTGCAGGTCATGCACAGAGCTCCAGGGCTGTGTTGCTCTCATGAATCATCATGAGTGTTGGAATGGGCTTTTCTGCGATGCAGCTACTTTTGAGTTCTCCCTGTTCCTGCAAGTAGACATTCCACCATTCTCCAATAAAATCCTTGGTTCACCACATTAAACTTTACTGTAGTCATTACTTTGGTCTCTCATGGATTCTGAGATGAATAGATGCAGTGTTGCCATGTGTCCCTGGAGAAAAGTCTCACACAGAACTCACTAAAGACCCACCAAGGTCATCATCTATTCCAGATTGTTTTTGTTCTCAAACAAAGAACTCAGAACTAAATGCATTCTTCAAAGAATAATTGAACCAATGAAGAGGCATATTTCTTAAGCTATATGTTGACCAAGGCACTCAATGTCTCACATTTAGGGCTATCGCCTTATTTCAGTCTTATCCTATGAGGATTAACATATGAAACTTTAGTCCAGTAAGATAGTTCCTGGATGAAGGAACCTTCCTCCAAGCTTGACAACCTAAGTTCAACCCACAAAGTCCAAATGACAAAAAAAGAAAACTAAATCTACAGTTGTCCTCTGACCTCCATACACATACCATTGAAGGTCATGGACATACAAATTAAGTAATTAATTAAAAAATAAATAAATAATGAAATAATTTTAGAGACACAAATGAAGTTCTCCTCTGCTACTCCTGATTACTTCAGTAGTTGAGAGATGTATATACATACATACTTAGCCATGTACTTCTCAATCTCTTACCTCATCTGTATCCAGCCAATGTTCTCAGTGGACACTCATATCAGAAGCACATCTCAGTATCGGGTTCCTTGCTTCCTCTAGGCATTTCCTGACATTTCCCCCATTCTTCTTCTGGCTCTTCAAAGACCTTTTTCTCTGCCTTCTATGGAAGCTGTCCTCCTGTGCTGCCTCAATAATACTTTCTGACTTAAGGGATAGCTGATGTTGGACAATTTACAAATAAAAGTTTCCAGGACACTGCAAACCCAGCATTATCATACCTGGCATTTCGTTAGCAAAGACCTGGGGTCAGAACAAGCATATGTGTGCAGTGGAGCTGGCAGGAGAGTCCAACCTGACACACTCACACAATGGCTACTATTATGCCAAACAAGCCCTCCCTTTAGTGCACATCACACTCCTTTCTCTAAGCCCAGACATCTTCATTCACCAGTGGAGTTGCATTATTTACCCTAATAGCAGCAGCACAGGAGCAATAGGACTCTCACAGACTGTCCACAGTCAGAACTCCTCCAGCAAACACCACCTCAATCTTGCTCAGATCTGTGTCCTTATCAGCCTATTGGCAGGACAGATTGAGCAACACAGCTTCTGCCATCCATGCTAGTTGGACATCACATGCCAAGTGTTCTCTCTGACTCTAAATCTCTCCTGTAGTCCTTTCTATCTCAGCTTCAGACACTGGGCAACAGGGATTTCCAGGGATGTGATACAGTTTTGATCATCACATTCCCAAAGCCAAGAAAAATTAGAATTTGGGTTTGCCTGCCATTTGGATTCCTAAAGCTCTCTTTATAGATATACTCTGCTTCTGTTATTAAGATTGAAATCAGCAGATCTAGTCAAGAAGGCCCTTTCTGACTCTAAAAATGTCACTAAAGACACCAGAATGGACTTGGCCTGGTGTGAGTCAGACATGAGGAAAGAGGAGCACCATCTATGAGAAATGAAACCTCTCCAAGCACATGGGACCTATGATGCCAGCTGAGCCAAGATGACAACACTAAATTGGCAGCTTAGGGACTCTCCCACAAAGAGTGCATTCTGGACCTCTCCTGGGAATGCCTACCCCAGACACCAGCTATTATATGTTCTGCCAAGACTTTATTTACTTGGAGTTTGAGGGGTCAGGGGAATAAGGTATCTGTGAAGCGTTGGCCCTGAGGATAATGCAGAAATAGTCTCACTAGGGATGAATTAACTATGATGAACCATTGCTAGTCATGGTTTCTTGTTTTAGAACACATATCTCTCTTGCCTCTGTCTGTCCAACCCTTTGATAGGTTCTAAGCGAACATCTGAGAAGGAGTGTGTCCCTAGAATGCTGAGATGCAAGCAGAGCATGGATATCTGTATTGAAAGACTCTAGAGAATCAGTCACTATGCTAGGAAGCCTCAGGAATCATTCTCTCTCCCCATCTCCTACACAGGATTGGGGTTATAGGTGTTCATGGCCATGCTCAACTTTTTACATAAGTACTGTAATTTAGTTGATACAATGCTTGCCTCGAATACATGGAGCCGTAAGCATTACATAAACCAAGTGTTGGTTACAGGTCTGTAATCCCAAGTGGAAACAGGAGGATCACAAATTCAAGGCCATCTTCGACTGACATAGCAGGTGTGAGGTCAGCATGATCTGCATAAGACCCCACCTCAAAAACAATGGCAAGGTGATAAAATGGTGCCTGAATAAGAAAGCAGGAGATGACACAGAACTGTAGTTAGTTTTATATGAAGGCTTTCCTGGTTCTGATTATTTTCTAAGTATTCTCAGCCAAGTCTGTAAGAAGTATAAGAAAGAAGAGATCTGTGTTTGGAAAGAATCATTCTAGCTCCTGTGTGGAAGTAAACAGCAGAGACAGGGATACCAGATTGTTGCTGTGGAGC